GTAGACAACAAGGATCACGAACCTTCTCCGGACTCCAAGTCACACATAGAGCCATGGATTTAGATCTCGGCTATCTATTAGCAAGATCTGCGGATGACAGAAGCTCCTCAGGGCAGTCCCAGTGGAGGTTGAAGAATTAAATTAGCTACAAACTTGGCATAGTACGACGTCGTAAAATGCCGTGCATGATGCATTGTTTTGTTAAGATGAACAGCTGTCCTCGGCGTGGACGGTAGTGAGTTAACTATGAAGGTCGTACTGCTGGTTTCGGACAAGCTACAAGACGGCGTCGGCATAGCCGATACATATGAATAAGATTGGAGTTATTTTTAGGCGAAGCAGCCCCCCTTTCCACTTATACCCCGGTTCCATTTAGCCGTCCCCCTAAACTAGTAAATAGTCTTTGTTATGCCTTCTATCTTACAGATATCGATGTTCTAGAAGTATTCCGTCATCCAGAAATTTATCGGAGTTTAGCACAATGGCAATGAAATCGGAGCCTTGAATATGATCCTCCTCATCTTATTCGCTTATATGTCAGATGATAGATAGAACATGCCGTTAAGGGTTCACCTCGTAGCATTTGATAATTTTGCAACAACTCTTCAACTTTTCCTATTAGGCTATTCGCGTACATACGTCTTGCCACACAGGAAATGGTGTCCTTTACTTATGCGCTTTATGTAATAGCCGTTCTTTAGATGTTTTCTTCTTTCTCGGATTGGAAGATTAGATGGTTCATCGCTTGCAAGTTGTAATGTTTTATTATTAGAATGGATCGAACTTAGCACAGCGTCCCTCTGCGGACAATAACAGTTATGACGTATATGGCTGGCATTCCCCAGCTCGCTTTCGCGTTTACATACACTACCATACCTAGACAAAATGATGTTGGAAGCTGAGGCACAGAGCCCGTAAAAAATTTAATACGAATTAGGTATTCCTCTCCGGATCAATACCCCATACGCCATATGGTCACCATTATCTCGCATCATGTATGGCAACTTGTTCTCCGCACCTTTGATTAGCAAACCGTATAATGTAGTATTCATCATATCAAACAATGCTATATATTGTAAGTAAGGGATTAGTTAGTAGGTAGAACTATTGGTATGGGTTGCAGACAAGGCATTTCGCAACAAAAAGAAAAACCCTGACTATTGATGGTTCAACTAACCCCATGTTCTTTTTCCACGTTTTAATCCTTGTCGAAGCATCGTATTGACACCACGCAACGCCGCATCCCAATCCGGCGGATGTGTGTATGTGTGCGTGTACGGCTCGGCAGTGCAATTGTCCTCTTTATTTTGCCACGCCATCCTTCCACATGTTCGTAGGAACAATGGGGACGATCAGTATATAATCAGTCGTTCAATTGTTATCCTAGGATGCTGCTAAAAAAGAAGACAAAGCACGTTCAATACTCAAGTAACTAAGTATCTACTTAGGCAGTTGGTATGACATATCTCATATCTTCAAAAAGGGAACTAGACCAGTCGACGTTAGCTAAACATAAAGTTGCATGGTTAGTGGAACCTAAAAGCACAACCATACATATTCTCTAACATAGCGCACTGCTCGATTACATAGATACTAAACCTAATAGGATCTATTTTGTGGCGTCTGAAACATTCTGACGCATGCCGCAGTCCTTCCTCCGTAACTCCTTTTTTATTATTTTATTAAAATTTTTTCTTCCTATTAGTCGATTTTAGGCATTGTTCCAGAAGCATTCCTTTTTTTTAGTCCTTGCATTCCGTGCAAGACCTTAACTTTAACAACCTTGCCAACGTCACTAACCCTCGCTCATCCCTTCTTTTTTGGAAAAGTTGGGTCGTTGCGGTGTACATCAGCCTATCCTGCCCTATCTGCCTATTTTGCTTCTTCCCTCCCACCCAAACCCTACGACATCCACACCATCCACATCCCTCCCCCAGGACAGGCCTCCTTGTCTATTTCAATCTTCCTTGTCTTACCTCGTGGTCTCGCCCGCACCAACTACAACCTATATCACATATATCAATCCTCTTACCCCCCCCTCTCGTCTTTGACTCGCCCATCATGACCTCTACATCCACAAACGTAAACAATAACCCTACTCCTGCCCAGGAAGAATTTCAAGACTTCCTCGAAAAGAACACTGATCACGGTTCACGAATACACCCCGAAGATCGTGACGACGCTCGGAGAGAGGCCAAGAATTCCGACGAAGACGAGGACGAAGAAGATCGGTATCGCAACGCACAGATAGAAGCAGCTATGCGCGCTCCTAACTTAACAGGCGATGTAAAGTTGCCACCAGCAAGCTTCAATTCAGGCCATAGTACTGGTGTGAAGGGTGTCATTGCCGATGCCCGTGCCTATGAACAGGCTCGTCAGAACAAGTGGCGAAGCAGAGTTCGTGCCGCTCGCCAATCAGTATTCGGAAAGGGGGAAGGGGCTCGTTCCACTGGCTCACATAGCGGCGACAGCGAAGATGACGAAGACGAGGATAGCTTTCTCCAACAGTGGCGAGAGGCGCGGAGAAAGGAGCTCGAGAAGGAAGCTACGAATGGTATCCGCACCCGGAGAACAAGCCCAAGCCTGAGAATGTTTGGACACTTCGATAGTGTCGACGCGTTAGGATACTTGGATGCTATCGAGAGGGTGGGAAGAGATACGGTTGTGGTAGTATTCGTTTACGACCACGAGGTTAGTCAATTTCTCTACAGTTGCCTATACGAGTGCATACTAATCAGATAAACAGTGTCAAGTATCAGGTCTCATTGAGTCGGCACTACGACCACTAGTCACTTCTCATCCCGAAATACATTTCGTCAAAGTTCACTACGAAGACATAGAATTTGACAATGCCGCCGTACCTACAGTCCTTGCGTACCGGAACCAAGGCGACCTGTTTGCTAACCTGACGGGCATTATCGACATGATCCCCGACGATGAGGACTTTGACAGCGACTCTTTAAAGAGGATTTTCAAGAAGCATAGCATCATATAAGGCTTCGTGGGTCAACTCTTGAAAGCATACGCTGGCGTTGCTACTTCACTTATAAGAGTGCGATCTCTAGTCAGTGTTCGGCCTACTCGAACCAATATATGACGCGTTAGAGATGATAATACGATAGGGCTACTCGCTCGTCAAGATGAAGGTTGCATTACTTCGCGACACATTTATGAGCGAGCTAATTCCGGTGGCCACCACATCTTTTACATCTAGAAGCATCATAACTCCATTTTAGCCGTCGGCCTGTCCGGTTGGTTATACCGAGTCGGCTCTACAGGATGGTGGTCAGCTCGCACTTATAAGGACTTGCGAAGCGTTTAGTGATAGGTTCTATGGGCGATGAGAATGATGGTGCTAGGAACGACGATAATGATGGGGTAGATGAAGGGCGCACGAGTGATTTTGTGATATCCCATTGATGCTACTACAACTCAGGAGTACAAGAGAGGTACGGGCAGTATAGATTCGATATAAGGCTATCTATTAGACATGCATTGGTTCTTGAGACCAACGTTATGGCCGGCGAGGGAATTCCTTGAGGACTTCAACTGCCATGCCCATAACTTAATAATACCAACTTGACCATACCACACTAATATTGTCTTCGTAAGCTATGTTCGGTTATGAATGATGTTGTATCCCTAATCTCATTGTATGCTATGCTGCAATAGGCTATGGGTTAGGTCGATATATACATTATCAATACTGCATTAACGGTACCCCAGCCTTGCGTCAAGATTATAGCCGGTGGGCTGGATCTAGGATCTTCTCAAGTATACCCGGGTATAAGTTCACCGTGATAGGTTTGATTTACGTGAGTGTTAGATAAACTTGGTGATCGAAAAGGTGAGCTATCCATTTTTTAAGGATCTAATTTAACATGTACCTAATAGTTGCGTCCTAACCATGTACATACATGTAACCTAGTGGATTAAACATAGTATGTACTCGTAGTGCAGCAATGCAGCTCATCTCAACCCCCACCATTTCCCGCGTCTTATCAATAAGGCATTAATTAAACTTGTTAATCTCCTCTACGCCTTGCTTTTTCTTATTGATGTTATCGATTTGAAGTTACATATAGACACGCAAACAGGAGATTCGTCCAATCTGATACATTTCTGTTTCTTTTTATTCCCACTATTTCCTTAACTACCTATCATAATCTTTTCGAGGCATGTAGATAAGTGCATCCTTGGAATATAGGGTCCATTACCTAGGTAAGGTACCTATCTGACTTGTCTGAACGGTGCCTAGTCCTGCTAGTGCAGATCTTCCTCCACCTGACCTAAGGCATTGGATGTACTCTCTTCTTCTATCTCTGACTGTCCTATTTTCTACATCCTACATTACACCAGCTGACCTGGAGGACAAGCCGTGGTCGGTCTTGATATTCCAAACTCGATACGGACGTTCACGGCCCAACTTAGACCAAGTTTTCTGTCTCAAGTGCGCACGCGCACCTAATTACTTCAGTATCGGGATACCTGAGCAGCTCGCCTACTTCGCGCTAGGGATTATAGGAATTCCCTAAGGTCTCCATAAGGAATTATAATACTTGCATGTACCTCGGTACATACAGCGTAGGTAGTTCCTAAACTCTAAGGTGAGAATACCCCGCCCCCTCCATGTCCTCCATATGTTATCCGCACGCCGTAATACGTAAGATGGGTGACTTCTAATTCAGCAAGGCAGCTTCACGCTGTTTTACCTGCTTGCCTTAATTGCCTTACAACTTGCCTTTTACTTGCCTTACCCATCCAACTATTATCCAACATTGAAACTATCTTATCCAATTACCAAAATATAAAATACTAAAATACACAACTGCTATTCACAGGTATATCACTTACTTACTACTCGTCCAAAACAATCCAACCATCTCGTCTATCCCACATTCACGTTCTTATCCCTTCCCCCCCCATCCTCCCACTTACAAGGCAGCACTTACCCCCCTTCGCCGGAATATTAACAGCGTACGTATTTGTATGTACATAAATCAGTCATATGAAGAAGACAAGTCTTGCCTCGTCTTTCGCTGTTGCTGCCTACATTTTCATTACCTTTACCTAACTCGCTCACTTGCCCACTTGCATGTACTGTTCTTTTATACCGTTTTATAACTTTGTCCAGTTTAACCTAGATACCTAACCCTACTTCGCCTGGAGCCTACTCCCCTAAGCCTGAGCCTACATGTGTATTCCTCTGACTTTACTTTCCCTTATTCTCTTCCTTATTTTAAAGAAGGATCAATAACTCTCGAGGAACTCTGCTGAACATACGAGATTACTTAGCTGACATTTCCCTTTTTAATTCGTCTAGGTATCTAAGCCCCACGGCCTTTTCTTGTCCCGTATCTTAGGTATATGCAACTTGGACATTTCGACTCCAACCTATCTGGGGCAATTTGGTTGTCTGATACCGATATCCGCACCTTACAACCTCCCCGGGACCCATAATACCGTCTGTTTGCTCGCTTATAGCCTGCCGCGTGTTCTGCCATCCTCTTTTGGTTTACCATTCCGCGACGGTAGACTTGAGGTATGACGTGATCTTGCAAAAGGCGTCTTGTTCTACCGCGTAATGGAACAGCCCGAACCATCAACACCTACCGATATACCGACTGCTGTTCCCCACTCATCTACCGACACTCCTACCCATCCCACTGCAGCCGGGTCGAGTCAAGAAAATAGCCTCGATCATACTTCCAACTCTGTACCCTCACTCCGATTCCCCCGGCCCCTAGGCAACCGGCAGCTTACGAACTGGATCTCGTCCAGCTCTCCCGACATTATGCAGCCAGAAAACTTCCCAGACGATGACCCCAGCCTGGCCGAGCTGGGCTACGACGTCATCGGTACCGATGGCGAGAGCCAGGCCGAGTCTACTGCCAGCTCCCTTGATTATCAAAGGACTGACGATGTCCAGAGCCTGGTTGGTACCGATACCGGCACCGACGTTGATGCTAACGAAGTCGATACCGACTCTTCCGACGACGAAGAGGAGGAGGAGGAGGAGGAGGAGGAGGAGGAGGAGGAAGCTACTACACTAAACGAAACCGCTGTAATCAGCACAGTTAACGATACCATTGTCGAATACCCCGCTGAGTCCGATGACGAAGATGCTGATGTGGAGACACTCGCGAATCAAAGCCTCGAGCACCCTACAAACTTCTCCCAGCATGGCATCCTAAGCTTACCACGCCGAGCAGAGATCGACCAAAGCCAGGCCCGGGAAGCCCTTGCGGAAATGCACAAGTTACCTTCTCAAGACACAGTACTCGGCAAAGAAGATAGCGCACATCTGCTTTCTCCTGAACACGAGGATTCAGATGATCATATTGCAGAAAGTTATCGCTCGACACTCAGGTTTATTCAAGGGAATTACCGTATCTTAATTGCCCTATCCGGATTTGCTGTTTTTTACGGCCTGGTCATCACTGGAAAATATTTCCTGTTTAGTCCGCCGACCCCTAAAGTCCTATCTACGGTCCCGGTAGCCTCGATCTCTTCCGCGGCCGTTCCCTCTCCCCTTGGAAATCCCATATCTACTTCTATATTCACACCAACTTTGACCAATACTCAAACCCAAAAGGCGTTACAGACTAGTAGTACTTCGCCAAGTGGCCTTGTCTTCATGTCGTTTGGGAAAGATAAGGACCAGACTGACGCCACCAATCGGTCCCAACCACAGACCATCTGCTCGGCGGAACTATATGACCGAAATGAGATCCTAGTAAAGATCCCCCAGGGTGTCAAATCCGCCTGGCTCTCAAAAGACGCCATATTAATTGCCGTGAGTCGGGGCCTGTACGACATCCCGACTAAGGTAACCTCTGTAGACGAGGGCTTCTTGATCCAGGTACCTCTTGAAGAGGCATACAATGTTCTGGCCGTATCTATTGCTACAACTTCGAAGCCTAAGGTTAAGGAGACCTTTCACGTCGACTTCGGCAGGAACAAGTTTATAGATGCTCTTGATGCTGGAAAGCAGCTGGTCAGGGGCTTCGCGCAGAAATTTGTCGACACCGTCAACGAGACAACGGCATGGGTTGAGGAGACTTACATACCGGCTCTGGATGTCATGTCGAAGCAAGTCTGCAGCCAGACATCGTCCGTCTCCGACACCTTATTGCAGGGATTTAAAGATGTCGCTAACGCCGTCCTCGGTCTCCCTTCCCATCTTATCTCGCAGATTATTACCCAGATTAAGCAGTCCTTCGTCGTCGACGATCTAGCACGACGTCAGCATCAAGCACAGTTGGAGCTTGTGAAAGGGGCTCAAGACCTCCGCGACGAGCTTACGTTACGCTACCTTTCTGCGCAGCTCAGATCTAAGCTTTGGTGGCTTCGAGTACGGGGGAAGACGGATGAATACCAACGTTATCTCTCGAAGGCCGAGGTCTACTTAAAAGAGAGGACTATCGAAGCCAAAGTAGCTAGGCAGGAAAGAGCCGAGTATGTCAAGAAACAGGTACGGTCACAGCAAAAGAACGAGCATGAGGAGACGAGAGGTTCTTTCTGGAACAAGCGCACGAGGGCCTCCTAGGGATGATCCGCTCGTTCTGGACATTTTAATTACATGGTTGGCGAGAGTGAACTCAAGGACGGCGTTGGGCTTGGGTGATTTGGTAGTTTTTGCTGGTTATCTTGTCCTCGGTTATCTATCCTGACGCCACTGTAGAACAAAGCGGTGCTTCCCTTGAATCCCCACTTTATCTCTCTTCGACTCAGTTGCTGCGTCGATGATACATGTACACAAGGATGGACTACTGGAAGTATGACAGGATGTTCTATTCCCCCCTTTTCTTCACGTTTGAGCGTCAGGGTTATTCAGGGATAACGACGTTCAGAGGTTATACGTTTTACATGTGTTCTTAGTACCAACCCCATTTGGCATTGATGTCGAGCGGTGGTGATCCTGATGAGCGGAGGATGATTCGTCATCCGCTTTGGGTATATTGTCGATAGTCGCCGGGCATAGAGCTCGAGAGCTATTACTTTGACTTTGTAGTGGTTTGTCAATAAGATGGAACCTGAGGAGCCCCAAATATATGACCAGCGAGTAGAAATACATTGCTTTTGTGGTCGTAATTCTTTATCACGTTAGTGAGATAGTATGCAAGGCGCTATGTTCTCGCTTTCGAGCTGAGCTCCCGTGGTGAAGATTCATTTTTGCTTAACTCCTATAATAGTCCTAACTAGGCAATGTAAATTTGGGGGGTTTTTTTTAACGCGAGGCTTTTCTCCTCTTCTTTGTTCTATGCTATACATGATACAGTTCGCTTGGATCTACATTGAATGTAAGACTCTAACTAGACGAGCCTAAATATATATCTCAACGAAGCTAGGTATACATACGAATACATGTAAGGCATATCTCTGTGGGTAGCTACTTTAGAACCCCTAAGACCAATCTGCGCAACATGAAGGGTTACATACAGGACAAGTCAAGCCCTTAATCTATGAGTCGTGATGCAGATAATGACGAGGCTCTCTCTCTCCCGTGGGGTACCCTGATGGTGTCTCTATGCGACTCAAGTTGCTGTCACTTGGTAACGGTACCTGATATCTTGATTGTGATATGATCATATTGATTTTTATTTTTATTTTTTACCTCCGTGCTTGTGTATTTACCTTATTATTTCAATTATAGGATAGCTCTCCATATACATATATATGTCACAAGTTTGAAGTTATAAGTAAAAATGTTAGATATTTAGGGAACGTTGTATGTCATTGTCACATGTACAAATAACAGATACATGGTACCTACATGTATGTACTCAGGGTACCTAAAGCCTAGGTAGGTACCTAGGTAGGTACCTAAGATAGCTCTTACAGCTGCCAACTGTTCGTCGGCACCCTTTATCACCTGATAAGCAAATGGAGCTTCGGTGGGGGTTACTTTGGTGCCCGATCTTGGGAAATCACAACTTTGTGATCCACTGTTCAGGGCAGCAGGGGGAGGGGTTTAGAAAAAGAGGACGGACAGGCAGGTATGAAGGCGGGCATCAGGGCGGGGCGAGGGCGAGGGGCAATTCTTCAGATTCCCCACCCCCTCGTTTGTTTTGCAAGATTGTTATTTGATTTAGAACCCATCAACTACAAGTCAATCACAATATTTCAACCTAATACCACATACTACCCAGCTACCACTTAGACTTCTACCCAATCTTCTGGTTGCGCTCCCGTGCATACATTTTACATAGTAAAAGAGACGGACTGGTACGTGTGCCTTTTTCTTAATAGTCGTCTACCTGCATATCTTTTTCTTTGCATCAAATCACTTGCATCGCATCAATCCTTCTAGATCTTGGTACATCAGGTAGGTACCCCTCCTAGACACCAACTGTCTATGGCGGTGGGGTGGCATGTCTGATGGTCTTTTCTTCTTTTCTTTCTTTTCCTTGCTCAGGTCTATTTTCTTCCTAGTTAGGTTGCTTGTCTAGATACCTTATTTACCTTTCTTATTTACCACAACCATCTTCCCTAACCCATCTACAACATATTCGGTATCTGCAATACGACGAGTTGAACTAAGTCTTTTTGCTAGTGCTCCTTTTCCTTATCCGAAGATCGCTATTATTTGTCGCGAAGGAGGAAAACAAGTAAAAGAATCTCGACTCACCTTTTCATCTAGCAATATTCAACATGAGCTCCACCGAGAACACCGAACCCAAGGTCGGCGAGACCAAGGCTGCCGAGATGGCTGAGAGCAAACCTCTTACTTCATCATCCGTCTTCTCCATGTTTGGCGGTGGCGCAAAGAAGGAGAAGAAGGAGGATGATGATCGTGGTGACGTTTCCGGTAGCGCCAAGGCCCAGCGCGAGGCCGCTGCTGCTGCGAAGGGTGATGATGAGGTATGTAAACATACTCCATATACCTTGATGTGTTCTTTCCCGCTTGCCGTGATAAGCACTGACGATATTTTTCTGTATAGGAGGAGGTAGCTCCCGAGTCGGAGGACGTCCACTTCGAACCCGTCCACAAGCTCACCGAGAAAATCAAGACGGTAACACACGAAGAGTCCGAGGAGGAGATATTCAACATGCGATGCAAGATGTTCAAGTTCACTCAAGATGCCGAGGGCAAGGGTGAGTGGAAGGAGCGTGGTACTGGACCTCTCCGTCTATTGAAGCATAAGGAGAATGGCAAGATTCGTCTGGTTATGCGACGAGACAAGACCCTCAAAGTTTGCGCCAACCACTATAGTATGTTTTTCTATACCCACCATCCTATATATCATAAGCTAATATGGTGGTTGTCTAGTTACCCCTGAGATGACGATCGCCCCTATGTCTACCAGCGACCGTGCCTGGCTCTGGAATGTGGGCGCTGATGTTAGCGAGGGTGAACCTGAGGCTATCACCGTTTCCGTTCGCGTAGCTAATGCCGAGAGTAAGCCGTGATTCTAATCCATCACCGCCATCTAATACTAATACTTCTTTCAGATGCTCAACTGTTTAAGGAAGCCTGGCTCAAGGCCCAAAAGGACAACGAGGTGCTCTTTGCCCAGGCAGCCCAGGCCAAGAACGAGACAGAGGAATCCGAGCCCAAGGCGGAGGAAAAGAAGGAGGAAGCCGCTGCTTCCTCGTAATGTGCCGGCATTCATGGTGTCAAGGATGGTGTTCGCCCGAAATCCGTTGGGTGTTGTGGACTTCCAATCACTCAGATTCGCTGCATGGTGGATGTATAGAGCAAGTGCTCCGCAGCGGAAGATTTGGAAAGTAGGGCATGTCCTCAAGGATTTACAGAGCAGCGAAGGACGGTAATGATTATGACGGGAGATGAAGAGAGACGCTTAGATAGTGTACGGGTGGATCAAACACCAACTCCCCCAATAACTTAGTCACGACACTTTGTCCCCTGCGAAACGCTTCACATTCACAATGAATACAACCCCGATCCCCCCAAAAGATACTACTGATATCGCGAATAGAAGAAGTGTTAAAAAGGTTGTAGAGCTGTTGAAGTGATATATATATACCTATGTGGGCTGACTTGTTTAGTTCGAACTTTGGAAATATTGAGAGACTAGGTAATCTTGTAGATGTGTAAAATATTGATACTGTATATCTATTAAATAGTAACCTAGTCGATTTCAGGTAATAGCATTCCAGGGTTCTCAGTCAACTATGTGTGGTAAAAGTTTAATAAATGGGAGGCCACGTGACTTCGCGCGAAATTATCGACAAGGTGATTTCGATGCGACGCGTAATTTTTCAGGCTTCAGCTAACTATTAGGTTTTTACCTCATCACCCCTATCTACTCGCCACTAAAATTCTTTGGGCTTATTATCTGCTAAGTACGGGTGCTCTTTCAAATTTCGGGCCTGGGTACCACCGAGTATAAATCTCGCCCGGTTTGCTTGTTGCGTTTGTGTTCGCTTACTCCTACGTCATTTCTTTCAGACATGGAGGGGTGGTGATAGGGCCGCAAACCTACTAATTACCCCTAAACGTATCGCTTGGAGCAATAACAGAGCGCATCAACTTATCATGGCTCGTAAGAATAAGAAACGTCAGACTCAACTTACGTTTGAGTCTACTGGTGCTTCTAGCTCGCCGGGTCGAGCTGCACCCGCCAACGTGCGGTTTTCTAAAGATACAGGTGCGAGCAGTAGTCCAGGTCGCGCATCCCCAGCGCAAGCAACTCGTTCTTCGGGTCGCTCTAAGAAGAGGCAGAGTAAACTACGAGGTACTGTTGGTATGTATCTATTGTTTCTCCTTTATTGTTTATCTAGAAGTTTTTCTTTTTCTTTCTTGACGTGTTTTAAACTTGGGTTTGCCACTCAAGAATAGGAGGGTAGCGAATAGATTAGTTTGTATTATCACAATACTCATAATTGGATAGGGTTATCACAAAATACGACATCGCCGGCCCGGCCCCCCCCAGCTAGTTTCATGCCAAAACTTCATGACTCTAAGCGCCCCGCCGTGGGTGATGATTCCGAGTCTGAGGCTGAAGTGCCAGACCGAGAGGGAGAGAATAACGTCCCTCTAAAGTCGTCGCAGTCTGTCTCAACTAGACTTCAAAACACCGTCATTGATGACGACGATGACGACGATGACGATGATGATGAGCCAATCGCTCCCCCCTCTACACTAAAACGTCGACGTCCTCCTGTTATCGCTTTAGACGACTCGGATGACGATGACCGTCCTATTGTCCCGCCTAGCTCACTGAAACGCCCACGCCCGAGATTCATTGAACTTGAGGACTCGAGCGACAGAGATGTTTCACCGGTGAAAAAGAGGAAGACATCAGTCTCAACTCCTGGTCGACTTAAGAGACCAACCTCTCTAGTTCCTTCTTCACCCACAAAACGGGGCGCACTGAAGGGTCATCGTTCTGAAAAACAGAAGAAAATGGAACTTCTTCGCCGCCGAAGAGCTGGCGAGAAGGTTGAAAAGCTTACATCTTCAGAAGAAGATTCTGATGGGGAGAGGCGTGGACTCTACGACACGGACCCAGAGGAACAATTCGTCGTCCTGAAGGACTTCGATGACGAGGAGTCAGAAGGTGAAGAGCAAGAACAGGAGGAAAAGCCTGCTAAGCGATTACGACGAAAGGAAAAGAAAATTGAGGAGACAAGCCAAAATGATAACCAGGGGGGTATCGAGGGTCAAGATGGAGACGACGATGATAAGGACCTCGAAGATTTCATATCTGATGACGACGATGCGCCCCTAGGAGCTCCTGCAAACCTGGATATTCCCCTGGAATTCACAGCTCAAGCACATAGGCCACTAAAGGACCAATTCCCATATGTCATTGAGTGGCTAGTTCACAACCGTATCAACCCCGCGTTCGAACGCAACGACCCCGTCTACAATAACGCCTGGCGTAAACTAGACGACGAGGTCCGCGCTCTCGCATCCTCCAAGTTCGCTTCCGCCGCTTGGAAGGCCGAGTTCTACCGTACTCTAAAAGGCAGGCCTAAGATGGAGGCTTACGAGATGGATCGATCCGAAAGAAGCGGTGGCCTGTACGACACATGCGACGCCTGCGGCCGAAGCAACCACCCCGCCTCCTTCCGCATTATTTTCCAAGGGCACCCGTACTACAAAAGTACCCTTGCAGATGTCGAATCTGATACCGAGGATAATGACAGCAATGAAGACGAAGACAACGACAACGAAAGCGACGCCGGATCCATCGACACGCAAGGTATGACGCTACCTTCGGTAACTAGAGAATGGCACGTAGGCGTTGTATGCTGCAGTAACGCGGAAACCGCACACAGTCTCATCCACTGGAAACACGCCCTCAAGGAATGGGTCGAGGAGCGGCTCGAAGACGACGGGTGGATGGCTGCGCACAAACTTAAGGAGCGCGAGCGCTTGAAAGCTAGGAAGCGCCGCGATCTGGCGAATGGGATTGTCGATGGATGGCGTGAGAAGGGTATAGTGGCTGCGCTGTATAAGGACTTTAAGAGTACGCTTGAGGGCGCGCGGAATAAGACTACGGGGGGGCGAGGGAGAGGACGGTTTCGGTAAGGGGTTTGTTGTAATAGACGATAAACCTGCTGCTATTTTCCTTTTAAGATCTTGAGGTCGATATTGGAAGTTAGGTACTACTACGAGAGATGTTGATACCCAGGAGCTTACTAGTGGTACTTTGTACCGCATGCAAGATTAGGTACTCGATCTCTGGGTGGAAACCTGCAGGATAGGAAGGGCAGTTTACAAGAGCCCCGAGCTAGTTATGAAGTCACGAAGTCACACGAATACTTCAATAATGAATGAAAATCGTAGTGCTTTTATTTTATTTTATGTTGGCTCATCCCTAACCTTACCTTGGTCCTTTTCCTACCGCACCGCCATGATATATACCCATAACCAATATTTCTCTTCTCACTTCACTTTTAGGTTTCATGCTATTTTTTATATATCTACCTAATAACCTTCGCCCTCGTAATGAAATCTCGTATCCGATCTAAACTCTGCTGGCCATCCGATCCCTCAACGCCGCTGCTTACATCAACGCCGATGATCCGACTACCGTCTTCGCCGACGGCAGAGATTACGTCTGCTATGTTCTCCGGCGCTAAGCCACCTGCTAACACGATTCGTAGTTCCGGGTCATTCGCTAGCGCTGCTTTTACGTCGACGCCGTCGAGTAACTGTCCCGATCCGGACCCTGAGTCGAATAGGGGCGCGGCGTGATATCCGCGGGCGCCCAGCCCCGGCTCACCAGGCGAGAAGCGCCGTATCACGGGGACTGGGATCGCGTGTGCCCACTCTATCGGCTCGCGGCCGTGAAGCTGTACGACGTCAAGGGAGTAACGTTTCTGCAACTCGAGAATTTCGTCCAGGGGTTGGCTTTGGAACACGCCGACGAGTAGGGGGCGGTTAGGAAGAGTAATTCTGCGGAATGCTGAGGCAAAGAAGTCACTTGCGGCATTGCTAGATATAGGTGTGGTAGAGGAAGCTAATGAGTCGGATCGGGAGAAGTCGTGGACCACTTTGGAGATAGCCTTCGCAGCATCATCGCCCACGGTGCGCTTTCGTCCCGGCACGAGAATTATGCCGATTAAATCTGCGCCGGCCTCAGCAGCGGCCAACGCGCCCTCGGGAGTACGCGTGCCGCAAATCTTGACAAGGAGGGGGCTGGGCTTTGGTTTTTGTTGGGCGGTTATTTGGCCCGCGCAGAGCTGCTGGATGAACTGCGATGCGTCGGGGGCTCGCATAATGGCTTCGCCTACTAGGATAGCGTTGACGCCGTCCTTGTGGTTGACAACTACGTCGTCGTGGGTGTTGATACCGCTGAGAGCGCATATGATAGTGTCCTTTGGCACGAGACTGCGTAGTCTGCTAGTAGTGCCGAGGTCAACCTCGAAGGACTCAAGGTTGCGGTTGTTAACACCTATGACCTTGGCGCCCAGTTCCACCGCCGTTTTCATCTCCTCTGCGTTCTGGACTTCTACCAGGGGCTCCATTCCCAAGGAAAGAGAATACTTGTATAGGCGCGTGAGTAGCTCTACGTCGAGCATCTTGACAATAAGGAGGACCGTGTCGGCACCAGCGAGTCGCGCCTCTAGGATTTGGTACTCGTCGAATATGAATTCCTTTCGGAGCACCGCAGGCCGGTTAGGCATGCTGTCTAATACTTGCCGGGCGGCACGGAGATCTTCGATGCTACCCTTAAACCAGTCTGGCTCCGTGAGCACGGAGATGACGCTGGCCCCTGCTAGAGCGTACTTCTTCGCCTGCGATGGCGCGTCGATTTCAAGGGCAAAGATACCTTTCGAGGGCGAGCCTCGCTTGATCTCGGCCATAAGGGAGACATCGAACGGGGTTTGGCGCAGGCGATCGACGAACGGTATCTGAGGGGGAGCGGCGTTAAGTTCGTAAGCAGCCTCAAGATCGCTTAAACGTTGCGATGGGATCTCCTTCTGGGCTGTCACTGCCTCCTTTCGACGGGCATATATTTGTTGTAATATGTTATTCTTCTTCGGAGCCGCCGCTGCCATGTTCTTTGCGACACCGTTAGCCTGCGACTCTTTTTGTAGCCGCTCGTTGTCAGCCCAAGTACCCCCTCGCATGTGCAAGAAATTCTTGATCATAACCCGACCATCTGCTGATAGAATACTCTCGGGGTGGAACTGAACGCCTTCGACCGTATACTCCTTGTGGCGCACGCCCATTATAACACCCTTTGAACCATCGTCCTTGGGAATCCAGGAGGTGACCTCGAGACATTCGGGTAGAGTGACATGTGTGCCCGCAAGAGAGTGGTATCTTGTGACAGGAAGACTTTGTGCCATTCCCGCATAGACACCCTTAGAATCGTGGGCCAATGGCGAGGTCTTGCCGTGAAGGATTTCTCCGGCGGACTTTACATCACCACCGTAGACTTCGAAAATGCACTGCCTATATATACCCGCGTTAGGTAACAGGCCAGAGATGAGGTTTGTAGTGAAGAGTGTTCTAACTCACTGGCCCATACAAACCCCAAATATTGGGATCTTTCCCGCAAAGTGCCTAATGGCATCTCGACTTACTCCAGAGTCGGAGCTAGGGTGACCCGGACCGGGGCTGACGACGAGCTGGGTGGGTTTCTTGGCTATCAACTCGTCGAGAGTGATCTGATCGTTCCGGTATACGGTAACTTTGGCGCCCTCGAGGACGAGATATTGGTACACATTCCAGGTGAAGGAGTCATAGTTGTCTATGAGGATAAGGTTCGAAGCGGTAGGGATGGGAGGCGAAGGGTCCGGATGGTGAGGGGAGTGGTCAATGATGTCTAGAGCTGTAGCCATGTTTTACTTATTCCTTAATTTTCTTTGTTTCTTGCTTCCTCTTGTTTTGATCTTTTTTGTCTATGATAAAACAAGTTGGAGTGGGATGATGACTCTTCTACTAGCCGGGGTGGAAATGAGGGTATCTCGATTGGTGGAATCACAAATTCACTTTTTGGACAAAATAAGAGACGATATTAACGTGGAAACGACGATATATCCGACTTCAGTCGAGAATCCCACTCTACCGCTCTACCGGCTCCTCAATGCGACTTTTATGTTGTACATGCAAACAATATTTGAATTATTTCCGGGCATCGGAGGTATGACAAAGTGGCAGAATTCCGTAGCCCCTCCAAGGTAGGTACCTATATAGAAGGCTGAGGCTAAAAGGCATATCTTTTATCGATAACATAGGTCATTGCCACATCCGGTGGGCGGTGGCTTTTCTTGCACTTATCCATTTGGAGCTAGTTTCTATTAATTAATTAGAGAGGTAATATGTAGCGCGTACCTGCGCGCGGTGCTGCATGTACCTCTGGGTGGGTACATGTAACGGGTACATGCACATCGGAAGCTCTGACGCTGAACATTCTTTTTTATGTTAGTATTCTGTGGAAAGCTCCAATGAATGAGCAGCAATCCGGCTATTTTGCGATTTTCAACTTTTCTCTTAAACCGCGTCGCAGCGAAAAGCTAACAGCTTCTCGTCCTTCGCTAATTCACATGCATTCGATGCACAGTTAACCTACCCATTGCCTGCTGATAGCTGCAGCAATGGCAGAACCACTATCCGATCATGTTTATTTACCTCCTTTGGAGCCCTGCTTGAAGGGCGAAACTGTCGTCTTGTAAGTGCAACACCATGAATTATCGACAGTCACTATCTCAGTTACCCTCATCTGCTAACCTCGTTTCTCGCTCGCTTTAGATCGTGGAGGCTACTAGCTTCGGCACTGACAGACCCTTCCGGTCATCGACAGAGCAGTTCTGCCGTCGTCGACTATCTCACCGACCCTCTAGTCCAATCCTTCTTCACCAAACCCGGCTCGGCCTTCGATCCGCGAAGCGACAAGAGTCCTCACAATGCAGCCTTTGTTAAGAAGACTGCTGCCATACAAGTCACTCCCACCCCTAATGATAAGTACGACATAAATGTCATCAAAGAAGATACCCTTTGGTTGAGCAAGACTGCTCTCATCAACGAGATCGCTGCTCTCCGGGTGGTTGTTATCGAGTTCCAGTCACGTCCTCGCAATCAGCTCCTAAGTCCCATCTCTAATCAAGATGTCGCGAGTTTACGCGAAGCTGCCGGCGCCTCAAATGCGCAAACTACCAACATCCTCCCCGGGTTTAATATCGTGAGCACGCTCGACGCGTCCGACATACAGGCAAACTTCGAGAAGCCCGAGAGCAGGAAGCAGCGAATATTCCAGACTTACCTTGAAGAATGCCGCTACTACGCTGCTACAAATGAGTACATTTTCACATTGATGCTGCAAGAAAGCATGCCCACTTCGCCACGATCCGAAACGTCAGAGACAATCCGAAAGTCTTACCTCAAGGCATACGGCATGTCTCCCAAACAGCCCCTGAAATCCCCGAACGATACTCGCACCAAGGCCTACCACGCCCTCGTATCTCAATATTTAAATCTACTTCCGGATTCTATCACGCGTTCCCAAACCCCTCTTGAAAAGGTAGTAGATGATAAAATATTACTGACAGAAGAATTCAACGAGCGATGGATTCACACATGCCTTACCGAAGCTCTTCACCGCATGGTTATTATCTTCCAGCTTCTAGATCTGTCAAGCGATGTGTTCGTGTCTGCTCAACTCGCTCAGCAATGGTTTTCATTCGTGGATACACTGGGCTTTTTAGAGCAGCTTCAGGGGGTAAGTCACTCGGACTAGATGTAGGAGTAAAATTACTTCCTTGCTAACATTATCTCTAGCTTCCAGGAAACATACCAGACTTGGCAGTCCCGCTGCAATGCCTAGTCTGTGTCATCTCCCTCTCTATTCTTAATCTTCCTCGGATGATGGGTTTCTTCGAGGGAGATGTAGATTTAAATACGGACGATGAATATCTCGCCTCTTCTAATGTTCTCGAACAAATCCATGATGTACTAGAAGGCTTAATTGACCAAGGCTCATTATATGCCGTTCCAGTTTTATTCGCCTGGATACCAGTGGTTCATGCCATGTTTTCATCCTACCAAGAACGTGCAGAGAGACGAGATGCAATTCAAAACGAAAAGGCTGTCGAGAACTATGATTCGGCTACGCAGATGGTCCCAACCTTGGGTAGGAGGAACTCTGCGGGGAGTATCACTACGATTGACAAGCGGAGGTATGACGACTTTCTCATTAACAAGAGCTTAGACCGCGATTTCAAACGGGTCCAGGTACTTGCTGTTATGGCCACGGACCGGGCGCGAGTATACGATGTTATTGCTGCTATGTCCTCTTGTCTTGGGACCTCGGATAATGCGATATTTCCTGATTCGATTGGTTCTCGCATGAGATGCGCGTTTTTAGATTTGCTCCGTGTTACCTATCCTTTCGTAGGATACAAATCAGAGCCGGTTTACGCCCTAATAGCCGTTCTGTCTGGTGGTCAAGGTTACTGGGATCTCTCACAATCTCGCACTACATCTGCGGAGCAAGACGTTATTACCCTAGCCTTTAACGACGAGGTCATTCTTGAAAGATATTTCCAGCAGGCGCTGAACCGTTTCCCTTACGAATTTATACCATTTCTTACCTTGTGCCGAACCCTTTATTCCTCGCATACTAATGACAATAATTGCGAGCTCATTTTGAAGCTCCTTCAAAAAACGCCGACGCTTACGTTTACACTGCCTAACGATTTCAACGATTATCAACTTGCCTACGAGGAGGATAATTCCAATAGCTTTCAGTTTCTAGAAGATTTCCCCCTTCTTGCTCCAGTAGCAAGCCGGAGGCGAATAACGGCAGAAGATGAACATTTCGTAATACCGGCGGGCACCTATGGCCGCTTCATTGTGGACGAAGGGAGAATTGTGCAAGTGGAGTATGGGCACTCTGCCCTGGCTCTGCTTGGAAAGAGACTGGACGCCAATCTTGTTGCAAGCAAGTATAATTTGGAGCTCGGAGAACTTACAACAGAAGATACCGCGGAGGCAGTTTCGCTACTTGCTACACTCGTCCGTACAGAATGCGTGAGAAGTCAAACGTTGGGTGAAAACTCTTCTGATACTCCAGAAGCTGCGCTGGCCATTGTAGGCGAGGCCAGCCGAACGCTGTCACGAACTAAAGATATCATATCGGTTGTTTGTGACACGCTGGACCTTCTTCTAGACGCAGACCCAGAGAGTAACGTGTTAGCCGCTGTAGCGGCTTGCCTGCAATTCCTCCACGCTGTTCTACCGATATGTCCAGGCAGAGTCTGGTCGTATATGTCGCGATGCACAATCCTTGGCAACCAAAGCCAAGGAGGTCGACTTGCCAGGCTAGTTGGGAGCCTTGACTTGTCTGATGTTCGGTTGGAGTTCCTGATGTCTGCTGTGCGTCTGTTCTCCAATCTCATCGACAGCGCTATGAGCAGTTCGGTGCGGCGTAAAACGGGTGCAAAGACAAATTCCAGGCAAAAGCAAACCCAGGATATATGGTTAGGGGTTTCGGACAAGATAGTGACCCAGATTTCCTTGTCGATTGTACGAGCGTCGATGGATATCCTAGAGAGTTCGTCTACATGGAGATTTGCGTCCGATCTGGATCGTATGGTCCTCGTACGTGACGTGGTACCGATTATGGACAAAGTTATCTACTACACATTTAGTATGGATGACATAAATTCGAAGACGTTCTTGATGTCGGCTCTAGAGCCGGCCGCTAAGTATGTCCTGGATAGTTTCCTCGCGCCATCGGCTGGGAGTCTTCGTGTCCAGCCACTTCTCGTTACCCTGGTTGCGGCAACGCAACCGTACGGCTCTACCGTATACGCTAACAGGTCCGAGGCTTTCCGGACCCAAACGAAAGCGGTACTCGGGCTGGCAAAGAGTTTGGTGAGAGTGGCGAATTTCTTCGACCGGTCCTCGACCACGGTCGAACATCAACTATTTAAAGCATCGCCGTTTGTTGCCCGTGTTTGTGCCTGCCACGACACTTTCAGAGGACCGGCTATCGAGCTTCTAGAAGCGTTGGTGATCAGTTCCGGCAAAAGTACAGGGGAGCCCCCTTCTTTACTTGGATATCTTGGTCCTCAGACGTCCCGTTCGTTCATCCAACTATTGTCGACGCTAGACAAGCCTTTTGATCAAGCCCAGGAAGTCAGTGCGATCTGGCGATTCTTTTCGACCATTGTTAGAAACAGGCAACAGTGGATGGCGAATTGTCTTCTTACAGGGAAGACACCACGCGATGCTAAGAATGGGACCGGCAAAGCAGTAGAAGCGTCCTCAAGTTCCGTGCTCACATCTGCTCTCGATAGGCTTAGCTCTATATCTGAGATTGAGGAGTCAGAAGTCCTCTCAATTTTAGATTTCATCACCTCGGCCCAAAACTTCTGGCCGTGGACCATATTCACATTGCAAAAGAATACCAACTTTTTGACGGAGCTCCGAAGGTTTGTACGAGGCCTTAAGCCGTCGTCCCTTACTTCTAAGTCCAATGTATTACGAGCGTGCAACGAAGCACGGATCGCTGCATACGTTGCCGAGATATTCGCTATGCAACTCTTCCACCTTCGGCAAATAGGCCAAGCCGATGTATTCGCCAGTGAATTGACACGCGATCTGGACTACTACCTGCGAGACGGTGTGGCTGTCTCCGGTTACAACCGGGGCCTGCAAGTTAATTTCGCCCGGAATTTTAGCAACCAATATCCCGGCTGTTCCCTCGATAACTTCAAACGGACGTTACTTGAGCCTCGGCCTTTAGGAGTCGGTTTCTATTATGCCTTGAGCTTTGCTGACAAGCTTCTTGCGTTCGACTCGGGCTGGGTTGGTCCTCGGAATAACGGGTTCAGAAGCGAGATGGAAAAGGCCAACGCTAATCTATCGCTAGTCGACGCCCAAATCGTAAGTTTCCTAGACTTCAGATCCGAATCGAGCTACCGCTAACCCGTATACAGAGTCTTTATCATGCCTGGGAATTCCTACTCCTTGAACTTAGCACCTGTCTACCAAGTAATGATACTCTAAAGAAGCAGTCTTTACAGGTTGCTCAGCAATGCTTAGAGGCGAATGAAGAGACGCAAAGTCACGACCAGGTCTTCGAGCGCCTTGCCGAATCGCGAGTGAACTTGGCACTTATGCTTGTGCAAAGGGTTGTCGACAGCGCCCCATCCCCCGGCGATATCACTCAGCTTTTGACAGCCTTGTGGGCAACAGTTAGTAGCGTTCAAGAGCCGTATGGATCAGAGAACATTTCGCTATACCGAACACTTCTTAAGCTATTATATGTCACATTGCGAGCTCAGGTTCGATCACTGACAACGAATACGTCTTCCGCTAAGCACGGGAGTGCCGTTTCTGCTGCAACAGTTACTCAGGCCGTTTTGAGCATTATCGACATCACCGTTGCCAAGGGATTCCGAACTCTAGTGTCTTTGATCCACGACACGCAACCGTCTGTCTTGCCTAACGACTTTGCCCTTCTTAATGCCGTCCTGCAGGCCTGTCTTTGCTTTCCAGGGATGGACCAGAATCAAACGCAGATCCTCAATATCCTGACCGCGCACGATGTCGTGCAGGCCGCGGTATCTCTGTACTCATGGGCGGACAGGATAGCCGATCAAGGCGATCCTATATATGGAGAGCTATCAATCCTTTTCCTACTGGAATTATCCACGTTGCCTTTAGTAGCAGAACAATTAGCATGCGACGGTTTACTTAACCATATCACGACGGCCAACTTGGCTAGTTACCTCCGTCGCTCGAACGTGAAGCCCTTTGCTGATTCGGTTGGATTACAACGCTGCTATAGTATATGGGCAAAGGGTATCGTTCCTTTGCTCCTCAATATCCTAACGGCATTGGGTACTACGATTGCCCCCGAAGTCGCATACGTGCTTAACCAATTTCCCAGTCTCATGCAATCTAGCGTTGACAGATTTGAGCCTCCTAGCGACGGTCGAAGGCGAAACCGCAACGACCGCGACTATATTACGCTCCTATCGGTGTCTGAGATTCACTCATTAGCTCTGATGACACGTGTACTGGGCGCCTTGCGCGCCAATAATGCCAGGGATGTTCCGGCAGTGGAGTGGGACTCGGCGGCACTTCTAGAGAGCGTCGAGTTCTGGATAGACCGTCGGAAGCTCCTACGGGAGAGACTAGTGACCTTGGGGTCGCGCGAGGCAGAGTGGAGGAGTATGCCGCCCTCGGACCGGAACAAGGGTAGAGGGTTCGAGAGCAAGCTCGAGGAAAAAGTTGTGGAGCAGTTGGAGCTCGTGCGAATTGTACTAGGTGAGGGTTTGGAATGAGGACAGCATTAAGAGGTACCTAGGATAGGCAGATGGTTAGAATCAACGGCGCTTGTTCTTTTGCCTAGTTAAGAATTTACGATGTTTGCGATGGTGTTTCATATAATTCGTACAAGGGATTACTTCCATTATATTTCGGTATCTAAGTGACAGTAGGATGTTGAGTGTGACAACTAAGACCCGTCGTTAACTTAGTAAATTGAGGGCCATATCTATTCGTGAGCACCACGAAGCTCAGGTAGACGACCTTAATTGTTAACTAGACCAATACCTTCCCCAATCAGCTACTACGACATTACATACGTGCGAGTTCATATACGGAGTTGAAAATAGTGATGTTCAAGGCTCATCTCTAGAGCCAGGGTATCATCCCCAGATGGGAACCCCCTATAGTCCCTATTAATACATCAAGGCTATTCCCGGCCTCGGCTGCCGTGCTAGTGTCAATGGGATACCTAGTAGCCTTCATAGTCAAGGTCGCCTAACCCAACCTAGCGTTTCCATATCACTTCACAAAGGACAGAGGACATAGACAACATATATCTAGTCCTAGCCAGTTGCCCGAAAACCTCGAGCTCCGAGCATAATATACAGCCCACTAGCCCTCAGAAGGGAAACAAGAGCGCTCTTCTGGAGAACGATTGACTTATCGGAATCCGCCTCCCTGCTGCTGTTGTTGCGTCATTTGGGCATTGTGCTCTTGGAACCGCTCACTGAGGCGCTGGGATAAGGCCATGTGCTTCTGGACGCAGCGGGCGACGCATCCGGACTCACGGCCTGTTAGGGACTTGGAGGTGAAGTCGTCGATGCAGGACATGAAGCAATGGTCAACTAGGTTGCTAAAGAGCTGTTTGGAGTTGGTGTTAGCAGTCTGGCATATATAATAACATAGACTAATATACTCGTATGTATATTATAATGTGTTGCGACGGGAATTAAGGAATTGGATGGCGTACGCCAAAGAAGACTTTCATCTGCTGCTTCTGCATGCGCTGCTCCAGCTCGCGCGTCTCGGATGCCGTTAACCTATAAGTTCCAGTCGTATCAGTTGTGTGTTTCTATATTTCCTCTATGGGTATCGTCCCGGTTTCGAATTGACTTACCCGTCCATATCGTCTGTAGTGTATAAAGGGGGGTTATAGAAGGGGCAACTCGAAAAGAAGATTGAAGCAATGGGTTATGATGGTAGTAGCTAAGAAGCTTAATTAACTACGTAGAATCGAGATGACGCTTGAAAACTTGCTTCTAGGTTAAAGCTTCACGAGCTAAAGTCCGAGTTTCCTAACAAGAAATCGTTGTCGCTCGTATTATCGATAACAGGCGTCGGTTTTTCCTGGGTCCGGGATCTGAGTTACTTCTCAATGCTGATTGGTTTAATACACTCAGTCTATGTAGTAAAGACCCCTGTTCCAAGCTTCAGCGGGGCAAATATGGATCGCTTGCTTATCGATTAGGAGTTTTGCGAACTTGCATATTTTCCTTTTTTTTTTTTTTTTTTTCTACAGTAACAACCAAAGAAGAATATTCAAACAGCGAACCCAATTCAACAATTCAACCCATTGGACCTACCACAATATAATAAACCGCCACAATGCCCAAGTCGAAGCGTTCCAAAGTCGTCCACCTCACGCAGGTCAACAAGAAGACCCGCGAGAACAAGGAGCGCCTCTTTGAGAACATCCGCGAATGTATCCCACTGTACCAGCACTGCTTCATCTTCGCCGTCGACAACATGCGCAACACATACCTGAAGGACGTGAGACAGGAATTATCCGATAGCCGGTATGTCCCTTTCTTATCTAACCCGAATACATATACACATATATATACAAATTTCTAATAATATCGTAGCCTTTTCTTCGGTAAAACAAAACTCATGGCCCGCGCCCTCGGCCACAGCCCCGAGGACAGCTACGCCGACAACATCTACAAGCTAACCCCCTATCTCCGCGGCACCGTCGGCCTAATCTTCACCAACCGCCCACCTGCACAACTACTGCCATACCTAGAATCTCTAGCCGGAGAGAAAGTCGACTTCGCGCGCGCCGGCGCAGTTGCACCCAGAGACTTCGTAATCCCGCCGGGAACCCTGTACGCGACGGGCGGCGAGGTGCCCGCCGAGCACGACGTCCCGCTGGGACACACCCTAGAGCCCGAGCTACGACGTCTAGGCATGCCCGTGCGCATGGTTAAGGGGTGCGTCGTGCTAGAGGAGGCGCTCGAGGGGGCACGCAAGGAAGAGGGGTACGTGGTATGTCGGGAGGGAGATGTGCTAGACTCGCGGCAGACGAGGCTGCTGAAGTTGTTCGGCGTATGCATGAGCGAGTTTAAGATCAAGGTCGTCGCGTACTGGAGCGCCGCCACGTCCGAAGTCACGCCCGTGGACCCGGAGGCCATGGACGGCGTTGAGGACGAGGGAAGCGATTAAGGCGAAACATGTCTCTATACTCGGTGTTCCTGTAGTTTTTCTCCTCCCCCGTATATATTCTCGTATGTGCATTTACGGCGATACCATGGTTGCTGGCGTTTTTTGGCAGAGGCAAAAAGATAGGGGCCGGAAAGGTTTCTCATGATTGATTCAAGTTTTCACTATTTTGCTATGCTCGCATTAGCATTGGCATGTCAGGCTTATATTTAGGTCGAAAAGCATTATATGAGTCGTCATCATCCAAGACGACGGTCGTCTAAAAACTTTTTCGTGACTATCTTACATTACAACTCGATGCTATGTCTCGTGAGAAACTTGTCAAGCAAGAATAAAAAACTATTGCTAATACACGGGATTACACGACTTGACTCGTTATACTTTTTTTTCACTTCCATCCAACGCCTCCTCTTTCCACTTGACAATACCTCATCCCAGGTCAGTAGGCATACCCATCGTTTCTTACCTCCGACCTTACCTGAGGAAATAAAGACTACTCGCTATTTATTGCTTGCGACTTAACTAGACATTGCAATTATTCCCTACGGTCATCATAGAGTACATGTGAGTGTTAAAAAGAAAAACGAATTACCTCGCCAATTTCTGGTATCAATAAGGGTTGCGGCGATCCAGGAGATAAAAGGAACAATCAAACATAAGCCGCTGCTAGAGAAGGATGAAGTAGGATTCCGGGTCGAACTCGAGCCTAACTGGCTGCGTGGTATTATGGCGTCTTCTTGTCTGCTTTCTTTCTTTACCTTTTGACTAGTCGTCGTCTGGTATCAAGTAGCTGTCGTTCATTCGGTAGCTTTCAAAACCATCTTACCCTTGCTTACCCTTGGTGGCTAAAGGCAGAAGGAAAATCGGGATGTTTTGCATAGATGCAGAAGTACGGAAGACAGAAGATACCCACCAAGACAAACGGCTCTTGTCTCGATAAGATCGGTCGGCTTAGTAGCGTCGTAGCTTTCGCGGATCTTCGTACGTGCCTTCGTAGCCCCGTTTCCGACTCTCGTCATCTCTCGACCGGTCGTAGTCGCGATACTCTCGTCCGCCACGCACCGGTTCGAAGTTGGCGCCGCTTCGGCGGTCGCGGTCGCCGAATCTGCCTCCGTCACGATGTCCGCCTGATCTATCATCATATGAGCGACTGCCGTTGCGCGAGTCATACCCACCACCTGGACCTCCTGGACCTCCTGGACCTCCTGGACCGCCTGGACCGCCTGGACCACTGCGGTCCCGATCACCTCCACCAAACCCACGACGTCCACCGAAGTTAGGACCGGCCGGCGCGTTAGGAGGCGGGTTATAGCTGTTCTGAGGACCAAAGCCACGATCACGACCGGAGCCGAAATCTCCCCCACCGCCACCGCCACTACCTCCTCCTCCTCGGGAACCGCGGTCGCGACCACCCCCGAACCCTCCTCCTCCTCTTCCACGGCCCTGGAAACCTCCACGGAAACCTTCGCGCCCACCGAAACCGGTCCCAAATCCGGGGCCACGGGGCTGAGGAGGCGCCGCTTTAGAATATCCGCGACCGCCTAGGCCACCACCAAACCGACGAGGTTTCCAGCCCTTAACTGTTCGACCTCTTTCGACGTCTACCTTAATTCGGCGGTCTCTAATGCGAATGCCATCGCAACCATCTAGAGCAGCTAGTTACACGTGCGCAACAAGGCGCATTTGTCAGTAAAGCCTTACCAAATATTTATACCTCGTCTAGACGAAAATGGGGGTTAAATGGGGGTTAAAAGGGGGAGGGGAGGAGATAGGCAAGCTTGAGGGCCAAATCTCGAGTGAGAGACATGGGTTAAGCAGAAGCGTATCCAAGGGAAATATTAATGGTAGTATTACCTCTCATGTCTTTCTCACGTTCAAAAACAACAAAAGCATATCCGCGATGGGGCTTCTTTTTCTTATTCGGCTTCTCGTGGGCATGTGTATCGCTCACGATACGAATCTGTTAAGATGTTAGCACATGAACAAAACGCTGCGAAGCGGTAAGGGTATAGATTATAACGTACGCGTTCGACGGGACCAAAGCGCCCAAATTCTTTCTCGAGGTCATGCTCCGTGGCATCGTAACTCAGTCGCGCGACAATTAAAGTCTTAAACGGGTCGCCACGTATGTTAGGATCCTCACTAGGCTTGTCTAGAACCAGATTATATTAGTATTCTGATGAGAGTTGATAGAATGAAAATAGAGAAGCACGAACAGTTTAGTGGACCCTCAGTCAACATCCTCTCTTGTTGTGCCTTCTTCTCGAGCTTTTTCCTGTCACGCATCTGCAACCAGCTCTCGGTGGGTTGGTATCCGTCATTGTCCTTATAGGAAGCAAGAGCAGGGAGATAATTGGCAATGGCGGTAATTTTATGCGTCCTTCGCTGCTCGGGAGGGAAATCAGGCGCAGGCACCCATCGTAAGGGCGGCCGCGGCGCGAAAAGGGCGAGAAGATTTGGAGGAAGCTTGTCTGTCATAGTCGCGTCGTCGATCTCTAAAACGGGACCAGGAAAATAACAAATTTACAAGTATGAATAAAATCGGAAAGTTAAATGGGAGATGGCGAAACAAGGAAGGGCTCAAGGATAGACACAGTCTTTCATTGATGGATGAAAGAATAAAAAGAATGAAGTCAATTGTTTTCGCGTCGTTGGGGGAAGTCGAGGAAATTGCTTGAAAGCTCCAATGCTCCATTCAAATTTCGACTTGGCCTAGCTAAGTACACTAGTACCTACGAATGTACATGTAACTCAGCAGTGTTAGTAAATTTAGCCGAGATATTCCCAGACCAGGCAGTAGATAACTTAGAGCAGTACTTGCCGAAGTAGCGTTCCTTAGTGCACAAAAAGTGCTTACCTAGGTATGATTAAATGTATGTACCGTCCGTGCATAGGTACATGCAACGCACATTACGTATCGGGTTTAGTGTGTAGCCCCCCCAGCAGCTTATGAATCGGTTAGGTACTTCATATACTTTTGTAAAATTTCACAGTTGAGCAACAGAAGACGTCGCTGTCGACCCAAATCTTTAGAGGCGCAACAATGACGATCAGGGCGTTAGAGAAGGTTTCCGTTGGCCAGGTAATAAATATTAATTCTCAATTAGCAGCTATCATATTGGGAGAAAACAGCTAATACTGTATCAGAATGGCATCGGTGCCTTCATCTTGCAATGCAGAAAAATTGATATCCACTATTGCGACTATTCTGGAAGTTCTAGAGGAATGAAGTGAGGCCAGCCCTGTTTGAAGCTTCATACTTAAAGGAACCTAATTCTAACTTCGTTACCTTCGTGAAAAGCTCCTTTATCAAATCTCAGCTGGCCAAATTCGCGTCTACTCATCCCCAGATCGAATTCGCCGTTTCCCCTCGACCGCGAAAACACCCCGTGCTTATTGGCCACTATATCAATGGCAAGCAAAAGTCCATTTGCGTCAAGAATATGGATTCGCTTCAAATACTGAAGAAATTGGAACTGCTACGAGACGCGAGCGGCGAGAAAATCAAGAAGGTTAACAAGCCGGTTACGAGTATCAGCGAGAGTGTAAGAGGAATATGGAGTCCTTACCACGGCACAGGCATGCCGGTATAAATGAGATATGGAAGGACGGCACCTGGGAACTTGTCGCCCTTGTACAACGATACGTGGGCAGAGTGTATATAACACAGCTTAAGGCACATATACCACAAGCCTAGACCTACAGTCCGAGGCAGCATTTACGAACAAAAACATGACGAATTCACTCAAAGATGCTTACGAAGAAAGTTTCAAACACAAGGCTAATCCGGTTTTACTACGACTTTGAATTAGATAGTAAGAAGAGAGGCCATAGCCTAGGATTTATAGTCCGTGGATGAACTTTCACATCTAATTATCATCATCCTCCCTCTCATTGGAGGTAGCTTCCTGCTAATATCCTAACTTTTCTCCCGTTTAAGACTTGCTGTTGATGATATCCACGACTACAATTCGTCAGCCTAGATTCAATGGCATACGAGCAAGTGGTAGTCGGAGTGTACTTACATGCGGGCTTAAGACTGGCACCGCCGACGAGGAAGCCGTCAATATCCTTCTCCTTGCTGAGGTCCTTGCAGTTCTTCTCGCTGACGCTGCCACCGTATAGGATTCTGGTTTCGTCGGCAACCCTCTGGCTCACCTCCTTGGCCAGCCAATCACGGATAGATGCATGTACCTCCTGAGCCTGTTGGGTTGTAGCGACCTTTCCGGTGCCAATGGCCCAGATAGGTTCGTAGGCAATGACAATCTTACTCCAATCCGAGATCTGTGACTTTAAGGCAGCTAGTTGAGCTGCGATGACTTCGAGGGTCTTGCCAGCTTCTCGCTGCTCTAGAGACTCGCCACAACACCAGATGACGCTGAGGCCATTCTCAGTAGCGTACTTAGTCTTGGAAGCAACAACCTCATCACTCTCAGCTAGGATAGTGCGTCGTTCAGAGTGACCAAGGATGACCCAGTCAATACTGCTGTCCTTAAGCTGGTGGACTGAGATCTCGCCGGTGAAGGCACCGTTTGGCTTGTCAAAGACGTTCTGGGCAGCAACGCCGATTTCCTTCTTTGCGTGTTCGCGGACAAGGAGGAGGTAGAGGGCCGGCGGAGCTATGACGATCTCTAGAAATGGGAAGACACGATGAGCAAAGCCATGCTCTTGTAGTTGGAATAGACGGAGAAAAGGGGATATATTGTTTAAGGGAAAGCATTGTTAGCTTACCAACGTTGGAATCTAGCTGAGCCTTGTTCAGGTTGTCGACAATCTCCTTGATGGACGAGATGGTCCCGTTCCTATATTAATTACCAATTCGTATCAGCTCCTGTGATCTTGCCCCAGCTCCTCCCAGCAATATCGTTTAGCAGCCTTCGAGGCACATAGGTATATATTACGTATGTATGGAGGGGTCCTACATCTTGAAGTTGCCGCCCACAAAGAACTTGCGCGCCATGATGGGCAATGAGATAGGTTAAGCTTGAATAGGTAAATAAGATATTTCGACTAAAGTTCCAGGTAGGAAGAATGTTTAATACGAGGAGTAGAAGTAATTGGAAAATAACGCGGAACAAGGAGGAGAATCTCTTGGGACAGTTGATGTAAGTAAAAACGGGTGGTTTCTATGTTTAATTCAATCTCATAGGTACAGCCCACTTTCCGTAGGCGGGGTCTTTATGTATATGTACCTATGTACCTGGCTACGAAATCGCTCATCCGCGCTAATAAGGTATCTTATACACATGTTTATTCTATACGTCATATACTCAATCTAGTACTGCATACATCCCGCATCCCCAACAGGCTAACAGGTCTCTCCTATACACACATATGTAGGTATATACCTCTCTCCTATACCGATCTCTTTCATATCAGAAATATCATATTATAACTTTACTTTTCAAGTTGCAAATGAATTCAGTGGTGAAAACGCCTCCTCCTTCGCGGCAAACTAAACTCGCTATCAGAACCATCCGTAACGTAAGATTCTTCATACTGTCTCCCGCTATGTCTCGGGTGTGATGACCTCTCTCGATCAAATGGATCGTCTTCCAAGACCGACCCTTCCTGCACGAGATATTCAAACTCTCTTCGTCGACGGCCATCCACCCGTCGCAATACAGTATCGTAGTCGTCTTCATCGTCATCAAGAGACAAGCGGTTGAGACGCGATATTTCTTCATCAATATCTCCTCGTCGGTCCGAGGTAGATATATATCTTCTATATGGAGCAACTGGCGACCTCGCTCCTGAAATAAAGCGCGGACTAGGCCTTGGGTACCGAGCTTCGCGGCGTGCTCGCTGTTGTGTCATCCACGCATCGTTTCTCCCGCGGAGGACACCCGCGAGGTAAGCATCGTCTGTAGCTCTGTCGATATCAATAGGGGACGTCATCTGGGACGGAAGAGGTCCCGGCGTAGGTGGTATCCTAACCCCATTTCCGATGTCAAAACGATTGTTGTAGTTTGTGTAATATTCAGGTAGGCCCCGACCAAGTCTATTCGCGTCATGTCTTCTGCTCAAGCTCGGAACTGGTACACGAGCCTTGTTATGGGTTCGTCCGCGGTTTCTACCCCTATTGAGCGATTCGGGCGAGTAGGAAGTGTCCGGCGTCATTTGACTATCAAATGATCTATCCGACAGACAGTCGGAGTAACCCGAGTCGCTTTCAAGCCTGTTGTGTTTTATACCGGCAGCTTTTGGTCTTTCTCCGCTGCCAGCTGTAGTATTATTCACACTAGACCGTTTGGTTCCTGGCCCTGGTCCTGACCCGTTAGGACGTGTCGGGACCGGTTGTGGGCGATTCCCATCCGGTCCCAATGGTGGCCTACCTTCGACAGGACCAGGTTTTAGTGGGGATATTTGAGGATTCGAACCATGGTGTGGTTGTGGTTGTGGTTGTGGTTGTGGTTGTGGTTGTGACTGCGGCTGCGGCTGCGGCTGTGGGTGCGGATTGGGGGGGTGATTATTTTGCGAGAAGGGCATTCTTTTTTTTGCTTCGTAGAGAGCAAGGATATCAGCATCTGCCTTAGGAACACGTTTGAAAAATGTTGTCAATGAGATCCTCTTGAAAGATCTGGGTTTGTTCCCATTTGTTTGTCGATGCGCTCGCCTCCTGGATATGCCATGATGTCGTCGAGGTTGTGGATGGCTTCCTCTAGCCACGAAAACATGCGGATCAATTTCTGCAAGTTGATGGTCTAGCTGTACAAGCACCCAGCGATAGTTAAACGGGTCTGGGTTCTGTATCGTGAGTTCTTCTGTCGCCTCGTCGATTTGCCGCTGGAGCGCAGGGCTTAGAGATCTTAATTTGTCGGTAAGTGTGCGAGTCTTCCTATTCAGATATTGAATCCGACGCTTTATCTCCCCAGTCGACATACTCTGAACCAGAGATCTAATTGCCTTATCCCACGTAGGATGTTGCAATCGTCCTTCGTCGTCATATAGACTTCGCGCTGCGTATTTCTCAAACCGGAAAAGAACATACTCCGCGAGTTCTTCTTTCATGTCATCTACGGTCATAAGACCACGGCTTACGTCAGAAATCTTAACAGAAGGGCCCCTAGTCTGGTCCACCGGGAGTCCAGCTCGTGGCGGGATTGCTTGCTGGGGCATAGACTGCGACTGTCCTACCGGACGGCCGCCGAATCCCGCAGGAGGCGCTTGAGCCTTGTGGGGTCCATTAGGAGGCAGCGCGCCGTGATTTTCTGCCATCGTAGGGATAGTTCAGCTGCGTAGGAGCGGCCGCTTAAATGGGCAAATGTGCACAAGGCAGAATATAGGCGTCTAGTTGGCTCAGAGCACAAGACACCTAGATTATATATAAATAGAGAGTTTTAAGATCCTCTTCTAAGATGCACAAAAGGGCGATAGATCCAGTCACCCCATGGGGATTCGGTGGGGGACGGTCTCGAAGATATAGGTTCCAGATCAAGGGGCTATTAGCTAGCACTTTTCCGATTGACTATAGCGATACATGATAACATTTTGCACTTTCCCTTGTTTTAAAACTATTATCCAGGGATGCTAGGAAGCTGGGCGTTACCGCTGTTCATTTTACGACATCATCCCATTGCTAACATAAGCGCTTGGGGCTTCCGTCCCTTCTCGCAGGCGTGTGTACTTGTACCCGGTGATCGCCCGGTCTGTGTAGAGATATATGTTCGGTCTGCCGCCCCAACCATTCAATGGTCGCCCGAAGAGATAAAACGACGCCCTGGAATGCTATAATCCAGATAGGTTTAAGGTTGATCGATTCCGATCCCTGAAGTTGTATGTATGATTTTGACACGTAGGCAGTATTACCTAGGTCTAAAACTCGAGAATTTATACCAAGGCTGGCGGATCAACAGTTTTGGTATCTCTAGCCTTAGTTGCCGTCAGCATAATCTGCAGCCTCATGAGGGGTATAAGTAGGAAAATTAATTATATAATAATTACAAATGAGGCGCCCGCATCCCCCATCCTGCATGTCTACTGGTTTTCTATCACATGCCAAGTCACTCTAACTTCACATCCTTTAATGGTACCTTGTTTCTATATCATATCATGTAAATTCGGTACTTATCATTTAGCAGGGTCTAAACCAAATCTATCAGCCACCCACCTCGCTCTCACATTGAGATAATGAGGTCCCCGTGCTGAGCATTATTGGTCACTAGAAGCGGTGTCATCATGTATCACACCTGATGAGACTTAGACTGCGGGAATTTATTCATGTTACACCAGGGCTCGTCTATAGGGGCTCTTCAACTAAGGTAGCAATAGTCGCTGATAGTTTCCTGAGGCTCCTTAGCTTAGCTTACATGCCTCATCCTTTGCAATGTCTAACCATCATAAGAAGTGGGTGACGGTTTCATCCGGATTTATAAGGTTAGGTATGCAATAAACATAGACAACACTTGCCACACATCCTACCATCCATATTAATACTATGAGTGATGTAGTAATAGACACTTTAAATCCCTGGTAACTTGCCTTTGCCTGCTAACGAAAGGTCTAGGACGTTGTTAATCAAGCACACCATCATGAATGCCTCGCCCCGAGTATGTACGTTTGATGACTTGATATTAGGCTACATACATGTTGCATACCAGACGTACCTGAGTCAGTAAAACTTGATTACACACCGGCAAGAGTTGCCACATATTTTAAGCAAGAACATGCCTGCTAATGTTCTAGGCCAGTCTAAATCTTCTTTGTGGCTCTATGTATCCCTATTCTATGATATTCATGGAAAAGGTGCATTTACTAGGAAACGCTCAAGATACCATGTAGGCCTGTCTTCTTCAGAATCTCCAGACTAACATCGTGTTGTTACACCTTGTCGTAGTTATAATGGATCTGCTCATTCCTCGGTAAGTTCAAGGTAGCTTATGATATCTATGAATACGATTCAAAATCTAAGCTACGATCTTAGGGGTTTTATAGCAAATATCCCCTATGGTATATCTATAGAGGTTGGTGTACGCTATAATACTCCCTGGTGAGGATAAACAAATACAACTTCACATCACTTGACAACCCTTGACTGATATCTAGTTGAAAGTTGGACAGTTAGCCCAGTAATATTTGTTGGGGAACGTGAGTCAGGATGAAGTTGTAATACCGTAGGAACATATTTAATGATTGAACTTTATGTATTGCTATATTGTTTAAATAGGATCATTTGTCGATCTACCACTAAGTTTTAGGGGTTAGGTGAAAGCTGGGCGTAATGTGTAAAGCACGTATATAGGACTAGTTCATGCGGGAAAGATTTAACATTATAAAGGTGACTCGGCACTTTGGTAAGGTGGTTAACGCAACGACTTGTTTTTAATTAACAGATAAAAAGGGTTTTTTTTTAAAGGCGTGTGTTTAAATCATATGATGTTAAAATAACGGTTATTAAAATGTAATTATAATTTAATGTAATATAAAAAAAACTTACTTTTAATGTTTATTTATAAAAATATTAATAATAAAATCATAATAACGATAACGTAAATAAAATAGTTTAGCTTATTTGTTATTTTTATAAATTAAAAAGATTTCGTTTTTTATTAATATAATATTAATTTTTTATTTATAATAATTTTTAATATTTAATAACTTTACTTTATTAACAGCTTAAAGGTTTTTAATATAATATTATATTATATTTTTTATTTTAAAAATTATAATCAATTTATTTTATATTTTTTTCTTTTATTTACTTATTTTAAATAATTAAAATAATAAATTTTTTATTAATTATTTCACAAAGACTTAAATTATAAATGTTGCAAAACAATTTTATAATGTTTAAAACTTTAAAAATTTTAAATTTAATTAATTTATTTAAAAATTACTTTTATTTTTAAAATTTTACCAATAATAACTTAATTATTAACAATTTAATTTTATTTAATTAATAATTTTATAATTCTTAAATTATAAATATAAACTTTAAATTTTTAAAACTATTAATTAAATCAATTAATATATTTTAACTTTTTTAAAACAAATTTATTTTTTAATATATTTAATTAATTATTATTTTATTATAAACTTATTTTTTAATATAATTAATTAATTATTATTTTATTACAAATCCATTTTTTAACATTTTGATTAATTACTGTTTTATTATAAATCCATCTTTTAATATAACCAATTTATAACTTGTTAAATTAATTAACCATGTTAAATGACTTGAAAATCTTTAATCCCATGTAAAATAACGGTGTAATATGCGTTCCCATTAAACAGGAGTTGGTATCTCCTGCAAAGTATAACATATCACTTTAACGTTTAAATCCTTGTAAAAGGCTTTAAATAGCTAATAATAACACTATACTTTAAAAGAACTGTAAAAATCTACTAATCGGATAAAATATATAAAATAAATGCATAAAATAAAACTATAAGTTATAAATATAAGAAAGTAACGAATATATTTATATTAAATGCATAATTAAATAATAATAATCGTGGCTATTTGATTAAAAAAATATAACGAATATTAAATCTTTATATAGCTTATAACTTAAGATTACATAATAATACCTTTGCTTTTAGCGATGTGGCACTACACTAGTTTACCATAATTTTACCTTAATTAATTAAATTATTAAAAATATAATGAATTAAACCTTATATAATGTTTATTTAATATATATTAATTGTATAATAATTAAAAGTTTTAAGGATAAAATCTTAGTTAATGTTATATAATACGATATGTACGCGTTAAAATAAATTTTAAATAAATTATTATTTATTTATTATTTTATTATAGATTTTATTATATTATTATTAAATTTTAAACTTAAACATTTTAATAATTAAAATATATGGAGTAAAACGTTTATATTATTTATTTAAAATTATTAATTTTAAGAATAAATAAATCTTAATAACGTTAATATATATAAAGAATTTAAGGTTTAATTTAAATTTTTTTTAAATATTTTAAATTTAAAATTATAAAAAATTATTTAATTTATTTAAATCTTAATTAAAAATAATAACAAGGGTGGGAATTTTATTAAAGGGTTAATTATTAATAATATTAGTTTTAAATAACCAATTTTTTTTTAAATAATATAAAAGATAATTAAAGCTTTATAAAAGTTTTATTTAAAGGAATTAAATACGTATATATATATTAAAAATAAATATAATTAATCAGAAAAAAAGATAATTAAATTAAAATAATTAATTACTTAAATTATATTAAAGTTTTACTTTAAAATTGTATAATAATTTAAATATATAATTTAAGATATATATAATATTTTAAAAAATTATTTAAGTATATATGTATTAAAATATAAGATTTGGGATGATTATATAAAGATTGTGGTATTATTTATAAAAGTATTTAAAAGTTAAAAGGTTTAAATAATTAATTGGTTTATTATTTTTATTAAGGTTAAACATTTAAAGTTAATTATTATTAAAGATTTTTAAAAATAGTTTTATGTATTAGCGTTAACTTTAAAATTTATATTAATAGATTAAATAATTAATTAAAATATTATCTTTTATAAAAATATATATATAATGGGATTTTAATATTTTAAAAAGTGGTTATAGCGTTATAAAAGCATATATAAGTTTTTAAAAGCGTTAAAAGAAAAGAAAAGGTAATTAAAAGCATTTTTGGGTTAATTTATAATATTAATAAAGATAAAAATATTAATTAAAAAAGTGAATTTAATTGTTAAAAAGATTATTATAGTTTATAAAAATCTTTAAAAGGCGATAAGGTAATTTTAATAAATATAAAAGGGTTAATATTAATTTAAATTAATTTTATAAATATTAAAGTTATAGTTATAATGTTAAATACAAGATTTATTAAGATTTTTATAATATTAAAAATTGTTTTTATATATTTAAAAATAAAAGGCCTAAATATTTCAAATTTAAAAAGGTAAATATTATTTTAATAAAATTAATTTTGAAAATTAATTCCAATTTAATAATTAGGATAAAAATCTTAAAAAAGGAAGTAAAGGTTTAAGGGGTAAAAAATAAAAATAATTAATTAAATAAGTATATAACTATTATAAAAAAGGGTATAGCTTTTATGATATTAATTTATATTATTATTTTTAATATTATTTAATATTTAAAAGGATTTATTAGGATAAAATTGGTAAATGTGTTTTATTACAAAAGTTTTATTTATATTTTTATATTTTTAAAGTAATTATAAAGGTAAAGTTATTAATGGAATATATATAATAATCTTATTTATTTAAAATAATTAAATAATATTATTGTAACCAAATTTATTAATTATTATAATTAATTTATATTTAAGGATATTTTTATAAGGTTTTAAAGGTTATCTTTTATATATATTATAATGTTTTAAATTTAAGGTTTATAAGAATTTTAAATATTATAATTACTTTTTATTAACATTTAAAATTAAGGTATTTAAAGTTTTAAGTTTTGGAATATTTAATTAACATTAGTAAAGGGGTGAAAATTAAGGGATTTATAATGGTTAAATGTAAGGTATGTAATATATTTAAAATAAAACGCTAGGTAAGGCGTATGCTGCGCTATATTAATAAATTTCCCGGTGTAAAGTTAGTTTTTAATTTTTATTTAATAAAGGCAAATAATTACGGGATTATAAACCTTATATTAGTTATTAATAAGTGGATTGGTATGATTTTTAATTATTATTTATATAATTGAAAATTGGAAATAATAATTATGGCTTTAAAGGATTTTATTAAATTATTAAAATATTAATATAATGGTATCTTACAGGTTTAAAAGTTGAATTATAAAATTACTTAAATAAAACTAGTAGTAAAAGATTATTTCGAAAGTTTTTATATAAGGTTAAAATTTTTAACCAATTATATACAAATATAAAACAGTATTATTAAACGTTT